CTCACTCCCGTTCAGCCCTGACACTTCCCAGCACCCATTGAATCCAGCCCTCGCGGCGCTATCGCCACGCAGAACAGACCGCGGCGATCACTGTCCATTCCAATCCCCTGGCAACAAAGAACTTGGCAGACATAATTTCATGACACTACGGCGCATACATACCTGGATGCCCTGCATGACCAATATGTCCTGCATGTTCTGCACCAGTAGCGGTATCTGTCCTGGAGAACCCAATACGTCAATCGCGTTGGGTCGGGTCGTGCTCCACCATCCTGCACGCGTGTCCCATGGCGTCGTAGATGCGTCCCAGCACGATTGCGTTGGGGCCCAACACATTCGAGCTAGCCTTGATTTCACGCGCGAGGGTATCCTGACGGCGCGCATTGGAGGCGCCAGACTCCCCAGCGGTCCTCGACAAACGAAGATACTGCTTGAGGACCCGGTGGAATGTGCCCCGCAACTTAGAGGAGTCCCGTGCGTTTTAATGCCCATACCCGAACAAACCATACTTGCGGCATAAATACTTGATGCATTCAGCGGTATCGCTGTTTCTGCGCACCGCCCGCGCAACGCCGTAGATCCTTTCGCTGCTCCAGCACCTTGCAAGCGACGGTTCGCTTCTGAAGGCAATCATGTGACGCGTTGCCACTCACCCAGAGATGTACTCTGAACGCCTTCACTGGCAAGTTCCCGTCCACCTGCTCACTTGCAGGCCAGGGGTTCGAACATGCAGTCGCCCAGGAGTTGCCAGTCCAGGTAATGCGGCCAGGTGGTAGGCGCCACCTCGCCTGCCCGAGTGCGTGTCAGATGCAGTCGTAGATCTCCTGGAAGTCCATTCGGCTGTGCGCGAAGACATACATGTTGTCGCTGTAGACCACAAAAAAAAAACATGCCGCCGCCCAACGGTCGAAAACCAAGCCGGTCGGAGTTCGGCAGGGCGCCCAGACAGGCTGCCACACGGGCGCAGGGCACATGATGCAGAACAGCGGCCCCCACATGAAGATCCCTGCGGCACCCCGCGCGTCAATGAAATGGGCCTGGGCGTGTACTCCAGATTTCGTAATAAAGGGAGGGGGGTCTCATTTCGGGGGGGGGTCTGTTCCAGGCCATCTTGGAGGGCCTGGGGGGTCTGGGGGCGATGTTTTGGAGGGTCCTCCCACGGGGGAGGTCTGAAATGGCTTGCCTTGGAGGGTCCAGACCCCCTCCCTTTTTATTACGAAATCTGGAGTACTTCTCATAACGGGGGAACATTTTACAGCCGCGCACTTCCCTCAGAAACCAGGCGGCGAAACCAGGACTCATCCCAGAGTGAACCAACACTTGCAACAACAACGCGTGACTGAGCTCATCAAGTGCTTTGGATATGTCGACACTGGCGGAATCCAATGGTCTCTTCCCCTCCACGGCCTTCTCAAAGCAGGTGTTCCGAACGAACGGCACCTCCATCATTTGGACAGATCTCCTGCACGCAAACTGCCAAGGCACAGTCAACGACAAACAACCCGCAGACAAGGCAAATAGGACTCCACCATCAATGCCTGGAGCAAAAGGATGAGCGAAATCGGTCTCAATTCTGCTAGTCCAGTGACACCTTCTTCTTCGGCAAAAACGGCAGATTTACATCGCAAAGTGATGTTGGAGCGTGAACCTCACGAAGCTTCCGCCTCATGGCGGCGCTGTGCCCAGCGCCGAAAGCTCCATCAAAAGTTTCGGAAGGTTTCCCCAAGCATAGCGGGACATCAAATTGTAATACTTCCGCTTGCGCTCCGCAGGCGTGACTTCATTCAGCGGTCAAGCACCCTTCCATGTCGAAAGTCTTGTCTGACCTCGCTCTCGAACAAATTGCGCAGAGCACTTATGAGGTGCCCGGACCAATGCGAGACAGCACGCGAATGTCGTGTTCATCGAAGCCCAGACATAAAATTGCAGCAGTTCTCCCACTACGTCGTCGACACCACCTCGCTTTTTACTGGCGAGCTGAGAGATACCATTCACAGCATCGCGCCTGGAGAACCCAATGTCCTCAAAGAACGGCCCGCGAACCCATTCAGGAGGTGGCCACGATTCGATATTCGAGACCTGCGTCGCGAAATGGCTACACATATACGCCTCAATCTCCGTTGCGTCAAGTATCTGTGAACCAGTTGAATATTCAAATCTTATTGAATGTTTGTTTTATCATAGCTGGTCTTGCCCCACCCTCCCCGACAAGGATCCTCCAGTGTCCTGCGGAGCCGACGTTCCCGAACCCTTCAGCTCCAAAAATATGCTCTGGCCTCTCCGCCTCCGTGCATGTGAATCCTGTTCAAGACGCCATTGGCGCTGCAGCTCCCGTAAACGTTCCCGTTCTGCTTGGCTACATTTTTAAGCAACGGGTCGCGCTGGGCATGATGCAAGGCACACTGCCGGAAACACATGGCCGCATCGTTCAGGTCCTTGCTGGACGACAGGCTGTCTTGAAGCGATTCCAGATGCGAGTCAGTGTCACGAGGTGCCCGTCCGTATATCGATTTCGACATCGTTGGTGCAGGCCTCGTCCGTTTGAGGAGATATTCCCAAAAAATAGCCATGGTCAGAATTCACAGCATAATAGAAAGAGACAGCTTTACACATCAAGATCCGAGATGTCCAGGAGACTAGGAAGTAGTCAACTCTAGACCTCGATGTCCCAGCTTCCCTCGTCCATGAATTCGACTATGTTGGCGATGTGTCTAAGACGTTTGCGAAAGTGAACTTGAAACGACGGGCAATGGCGGTAAGCTCCTGCGCGCGCTCCTCTTTTGGAGAGCGGCTCCTTTTCAATATGTGGCCCTCGCCTAGGCGGCACGGCAAATTCGACATAAGATGTCCCAACCACCAACAGGATTGAGGTCGAGTGTTTTCGAGATATGGCTCGCCTTAGCGCCGCGCGCACTCGAGTGGGGAATGCTTGCCTGGCGGTTCTTTCGGTCCGCCGTCCCCTCCCCCTCTAGCCCATACTTGTGCATCATCATACCACTGGTCGTGAAGCGAGAGATTCCCAATGGGCTCGCGATGTATTCGTTTGCGTCTGCACGCTCGGCGAATCGCCCTTGAGCAGAAACTGCAGCGGCGGGGGCATCGCGAGGCGGTGCGCTGCTGCTGCTGCGAGGCCCGATGAAAACAGAACTGCCACTGAAAACTATTGCCAGGGTCCCGCGGGATCTCCGGGATCCACTAAGCTCGGGACACACTTGCCTCGCGAAGACCGTGGGCCAGGACACGCCTGCTTCGCGACTGCAGTCGGGACCTCCGAGAGCCAGTGGGTCAGGACAATTGCTTCGCGACGGCAATGGGTCAGGAAACGATTCATGCGCGACGGCAATGGGACAGGACACGCTCGCTTCGCGACGGCAACGGGTCGGGAAAAGCTTGCTTCGTGACGGAACCGTCTCGAAACTGGAAATGCAGACGGGCCAGAGAATCCAGTCCTCTCGAAACCCTGCGGTAACGATGGGCGCGATAACTTGCACCGCATGCTACAGAAGGGCCTCTGCGATGGGACGAGGCGGTTAGGGCGTACTCGGCTCAGCAACTGCGACTACCACAACACGTCGCTGTCATCCCCTACACTTGCCTGACGTCTCCAAGCAAACTGCTCGCCCCGCCAGTGATGAGGAGAGGTGGGCGGAGGCACGACGGTCGACTCACTTTCTGTCCTCGGCGTTGGCTGCACAGAGTGGGTCGGGAAACGCTTGCCTGGCAGTCCGTTTGACCCCACCCATCCCCCGCCCCCTCCACCCCGTTCCAGACCTGCGGGCCGCCCGACGCGCCGCCCTCGCCCTCCGACGGGGTTAGAACTGGAAGGCGCTCCGCTGGCCGTCTCGATCCCGGGCTGGCCGGCGTCCCCTGCGGCGTTTAGGCGCTCCGCTGGCCGTCTCGATCCCGGGCCGCCGGCGTCCCCTGCGGCGTTTGGCACCCTCGGGCGGGGCCTCGGCTGGCAAACGACGCGCGGCTCGCGCGCGAAAGTGCGGCGTCGCCGCGTCCAGCACGCGCCGCGCGCCAGAGCTCGAGCGCTGGTATGTCCCTGCGGGGGGAGGGGAGTAGTTGGCGGCGCGCACAGTGGGATAGGGGGGGGGAGGAGGCTTCTCGGAAGCAGGGGTGCTTCTAAGAAGCCTTCCCCCCCCTCCACCCACCCCCTCTGCGCGTGGCTGAGGTAGGGTTAAGTCGGGCATGTCCCCCTACAGGGAGATGTTCGACGGAAAATGAAAAATACCCCAAAGATGCACCAAAAGGGCCAAAAAAACTGAAAAAAGAGTCCCCATACTATTTTTGGACTATTTTTTGACTATTTTTGGGGGTTTGTTTTATTCTTCGTCGACAATCCCCCAGGCCCGACACCAAGGCAGGGCCCGTGCCGCGCGCAGCTGCGCGGCCACGCTGCGCGCGTGCCGTGCGAACCCAGCCGCCCCGAGCGCCCGCTGCGCGGCCGGCCGCGCCTGCCCGTCCAGGTCGGTCTCCGAGGCGCGCTGGACTCTCGCGGCGACGACGGCGGCGGCGGCGGCGGCGCCGGCGACGACCCCGAGAGAGAGGGCGGTCCTGCTGCTGCGCGGCGGCGGCGACCTGCCCGGCTGCGAAGTGGTGCCTGCCCCCGCCGAGCCCGGTCCGCCGTCGCCGCCCGCCGCCGCCGTCGCCACCGCCACAGATCCCGAGGCCTGTGTCGAGGTCGTGTTGGGCCTGCCTGAGCCTCTGGAGGCCGCTGGAAGCCGTCGCCGCCAGCGATCCACCGATCGAGGACAGGATGCAAGGTCTTGGCATCCAGGGGCCTCTGAAAACAACTGGAGGCCTCTGGGGACCTCCGGGGACTTCTGGAGGCCCCTGGGGGTCGTCGTCGTCGCCGTCGTCGTCGTCGCCGCCGCCGCCGTCGTCGTCGTCGTCATCGTCGTCCTCGTCGTCGTCGTCGTCGTCATCGTCGTCGTCGTCGTCCTCGTCGTCGTCCTCGTCGTCGTCCTCGTCGTCGTCCTCGTCGTCGTCCTCGTCGTCGTCCTCGTCGTCGTCCTCGTCGTCGTCCTCGTCGTCGTCGTCGCCGTCCTCGTCGTCGTCCTCGTCCTCGTCGTCGTCGCCGTCAACATCGTCGTAGTCGTCGGCGTCGCCGTCGACGTCGGCGTCGGCGTCGGCGTCGCCGTCGCCGTCGCCGTTGTCGTCATCGTTTCCCTCTTCCTCCTCCTCCTCCTCCTCCACCTCCGTCTCCCCTTCCCCCTCCTCCTCCTCCTCCTCCTCCTCCTCCTCCTCCTCCTCCTCCTCCTCCTCCTCCTCCGTCCCCTCCCCCTCTCAGGCCGCTCAAACCACCGAGACGCCCTGTCGCTCCATGAGCTGCAGGCTCCGACTCCAAATCAGGAGCTACTCGGCCGGGACGAGCAGGCAGAGAAGGCAGTGAAAAGGAGGGGAGCGAGGAAAGGAGAACTTACCAGCCTCGAAAGTATCCTTATCCCTAAGATTGACACGCCAAAAGGCGATGACAATCTTAGGGAGTCGCCCTGAAAAACTAAGGAAATCCCTGAGATTGGCATCGTGATGAGGAGATGCCCAGCATAGGGATAGGGATGTGTTCCAGGCTGGTAAAGAACGGCCTGCCCCAGCCCGTGGCTCGAGCGACGCGGAAGCCCAGGGAGGAGCTCGGACCGTGCAGAGCGGCGCTCCGGCCCCAAAACGGGACCTGGAAGGAGTACCCCGACGCAGCCCCGGAGCAGACCCACCACAACGCGCAGGGGGGGGGGGCCGAGCCGTCGCTCCCTGTCTGCTGCGTCTCTGAGCCCCCCGCCCCCGCTCCTCGTCGTCGTCCTCGTCGTCCTCGTCGTCCTCGTCGCTCCCTGTTTGCTGCGTCTCTGAGCCGCCCCCCCGCTCCTGCTCTGGACCACGGCCGCCGAGGACTCCCGCAGGCGCGCGCGCTCCAGGAGCGCCCCCTCCGCCTCGAGCCGCGCGCGTCTCCTCTCGACGGCGGGGCCCCGAGGCTGCGGCAGGTCCGCGTCGTGTCGACTTCGGCGGTGGTTGCTGACAGGGCTGAACCTAAACGGCGTTTTTCGCTTTTTTCGTTTTGTTTTCGTTGTCCCTCTTCTGTCTTCAGTCCGCCTCTAGCGCAGAGCGAGATCGAACCGGAAACGGCCCACGAAATCGCCACAACACCGTTTAGGTCCACCCCTGGTTCCTGACACCGCGAGGACCGTTCAATCTTGGACGATCGGCCGTTTCCCCAACGTCCAATTGAGCATCGTTTAACCGATCCCCATCCCCAGCGGCGTGGCCTGGGCCCCACTGGCCGATTGAACCCCCCTAGATGGGGGATGTGGGCCGTGCCCTCCGGGTTTCGAGGGGTGTCTCCCCAACTGAGGTGGTAACTTGGTGGGGGTCTCGAAGGGGATGAGGATGGGGATGGGGATGGGGGTCTGCGAAACGATACTGACCGCTCGTTCCACATCGACCGATTCTCTGGGTCGCCAGACGCCAGCGGCGAGGCCGCCGCCGGTCGGCACGGCGCGCACCCGCCGCAGGGAGCGGACCACGGGCTGGACTCAGGTCGGGCGTGCCCCCCTCCAGGCGGAGTTTGGACGAAAGATGACAAATACTCAAAACATTCCCCAAAACAATCCAAAAATGCTCAAGAGAGGGTCCCCCTACTATTTTCTGGACTGCTTTGGAATTCTCCTCCTGTAGAGAGGGACAGGCCCGACTCAAGGCTGGACCTTGACCACTTGGGGGGGGCTGCCTCCGCGCAGCCCGAAAAGCCTCACCGGACGAGAGCCTCCACCAGGGCAGGCTCCACTCGTCTCCCCGAGGTTCTCGTGGGGGCTCTCGCGGGGGCCCCGCGGGCGCAGCCTCGTCTGCCCGAGGCGCTCTCGCCCTCGGGGCGCCAGCCCTCGGGGCCCCCTCTTTAGGTCGGGCATGTCCTCCTACAGGCGGGCTTTCGAATAAAGTCGCCATATATATATATATATATATATATATATGTGTGTGTGTATTTTTATTTATATATATACACATGTATATATGTGTTACATACACAAATACATGTGTATATATATATATACATGTATATATATACACGGATACGTACATAAATACGTATATACATACATGCATGCGTGCATGCATACATACATACATACGTACATGCATACATACATGCATACATGCATGCATGCATGCATACATACACACATGCATGCGTGCATGCATGCATGTCTGCGTACATGCGTACGTACATACATGCACATACACACGTACACAAACATGTATACATATATACACATATGTATGTACATACGTACATACATACATACATGTATACGTGCATACACGTACACACATGCATGCATGCATAGATACATGCACACACAAAACTACATGCATACCTACATACATACAAACTAACATACATACATACATACATACATACATGAATACATACGTATAATCATACACACATCGACACATACATACATACATGCATGCATGCGTGCATGCACACATACATACATACATACG